GCGTGGGTGATCCCTGCCTGTGACCACTGCTGGGAGGGGGTTTTGTTTGGGCAAAGTGGCTGAGCTCTACAAGCGACTCTATTCTGACAAGGTGTGATGTAAGAATACGCTCTGGGTTTCCATGCCCACGGGGTCTTCAGGTCGTGCTGCCTCAACTTACCAATGAAACTGTTGTTCCCGCTGCCAGAAAATGTTCCCGTCTGTGGTGCATGAACCAGGACAGGTTTTGGCACTACCTCCAACTAACCAGAAGAGCTTAAAAGTCTCATTCGCCTGCCCTGGCTCTCAGGGAGGGCTAGCACCGAACAGTTGAACCAGTGCTGTTCCTACTCCGTTTCATTAGTAGGTTTCAAACAAGTGTGGTGTTCAGAAGGACAAGGCAATCTCTTCTTTGGAGATGCGGTTAAACTTGAATTCCAGATAACTTAGTCTCTGGCTTTAAACACTGGACCTTGCTCCTGCAGCAGGGTAAGGATAAACAACTTGCTTGTGATCTATAGTTAAAATTAAGCTTCAGAGCTCTGCATTTCTTGTGTTTAGCCAAGACAGCTCCGTTAAGACCACTGTCACCCACCTCCATCTGTGTTCTTCAAGACCCCCTTCTACCATGCTTTCTAGAGCAGATGAGTCTGGTTGTGGGAGGGGAAGAGCAAACTGGATGCATTACCCTTCCTCTCCCCCTTGTCTCGTGCTCATTTCGTAGAGGACCTGGTACAGTCCCCCCTCTTAGGAGTAGTACGTAATTTTGGATGCTAACTCAACATTAACAATCTCAGCACCTAGGAGGATTCTTGGTTGCGTGGCCGACAGTGAAGGGTTGTGCTTGTTGGCTGATGATGACTATGGGGGGGTCTTGGAAACCATTAAACGTAGCCCTGAAACATGGCTGGAGAGTGACAATTTCCTCCTGGGGAAAGCAGGTGTCAACAGGGGCACAGCCTAGGGGGTAATTACCTGTCCCAAAATGATACAGACGGTGCCCTGTGCGTGTATGGGGGCTGTGCCATAGCTATCAGTAGTCCATAGGTGTGTTTGTGTGCTTGTCGTTAACGCAGGTGTAAATATGACACGGCATTGCTGGCATGCGCTTGTCCTGAGGTGAGCGATGCCCGATTTGAGATTTGAATGCGCCTAGGCTGTCTCTCTGACCCTGTTTTTTTTTTTTTCTCTCTCCCCACCACCGCAGGCTCGGGCCCAAGCGGAGGCCCTCCACATTGGGGATGTACACTTTTCTGTCAAGCCTGGTTCTAGCACCTCCTCTCCCAAGCTCCACTCCAGCCCGCGGTGCACCGGCTCAAGAAAGACATCCGGCGATGCCATCGCATGTCCCGGCGCCCTCTGCCCCGTCCAGACCCCCAGAACGGTGGGAGCGTGGGTGGCGGGGCTGGCATCCGTCGCCTTTCTCGGAGACCGTCCGCATCATCAACCGTAAGGTGAAACCCCGTGAGCCCAAGCGCAGCCGCATCATCCTCAACCTCAAAGTCATTGACAAAGGTGGGAAACCAGCCAACGGGGCCGGGGGCCTGGCTCGACCTAAGATCCCATCCCGAAACCGCGTCATTGGCAAGAGCCA